AAAAATTCTGAAAATTCACTACATTTTCAGATGTACATACAGTGGAACCCCGAGTTTTGAACTTAATCTGTTCCAGGAGCTAGCTCTAAAGTCGAAACATTCGAAACTTGAAGCAATATTTCTCATAAGAAATAATTAAAATACAGTGGACCCCCGCATAACGATCACCTCCGAATGCGACCAATTATGTAAGTGTATTTATGTAAGTGCGTTTGTACGTGTATGTTTGGGGGGTCTGAAATGGACTAATCTACTTCACAATATTCCTTATGGGAACAAATTCGGTCAGTACTGGCACCTGAACATACTTCTGGAGTGAAAAAATATTGTTAACCGGGGGTCCAATGTACAATTAATCCGTTCCAGAAGCCCAAAAGTATTCACAAAATAATACATTTTATAGAGATTAATTATAGCTTTATATACAACAAACATACATAGTACAATTAGTAATAGATAAACATTTATTACTAAATTTAAAAAGAGAAACTTTCGTTTTTCTTTTTGGGCCACCCTGCCTTGGTGGGATTCGGCCGGTTTGTAAAAAAAAAAAAAAAAAAAAAAAAAGATAAACATTGCAATAAACATATAAAATAATATTTTTACTTACCTTTACTGAAGATTGTTGATGGCATCTGGAAGATAGGGAGGAGGAGTGAGGGAGCACTTGTTGTTTGGAAGGGAAATCCCCTTCCATAAAGACTTTAGGTAACAAGTCCTTATCTGGGGTTACTTCCTTTCTTTAAGAGTTTCCTAAAATGGGACGTGGTTCTGCCACTGAACTTGTTGCAGAGATGGCTTGTTTCAGCTTGCTTAGGGTGATATTTTTCAGCAAATGCCTGCACCCCATTCCACATTGTGCAAATCTCCCTAATCTCTGAAGAAGGCACCATCCACCACCACCATCCACCAATATCCACCAATACCATCCACCACCACCATCCACCAATATCCACCAATACCATCCACCACCACCATCCGCCAATATCCACCAATACCATCCACCACCACCACCACCCACCATCAATACCATCCACCACCACCACCCACCATCAATACCATCCACCACCATTACCATCCACCAATACCATCCACCATCACCACCATCCACCATCACCACCATCCACCACCGCCACCACGGTAGCTTATTTCACAGTCGCACTTAATAAACACCAAACACAATGAATTAATAGTGAAATGTTTGAATAAGCACGCAGGTTTGTGTTCACTCAAGCATAAACAAAGCCAGACTGGCTCATGATACCTGCGTGGGGACGCAGGCAGGCATGGGCAGGTGGAAAAACGTGCACTCAGAATCTGCAGCAGTGAGTTCCTTGAAGACTGCTCTCTTATTGAACGAGTATTTTCTAAGCTTCACTATCCTCATCACTTTATTAGAGACTGCAGAGGACGGGCATTAAATATCTTTAACACACCCAGAGAAGACACTGCCAAGAAGAGATACTTAGTCCTCCCCACCAACTCCATTACCAAATACGTTTCCAACATCATCTCCAAAACTTCATTCCAAATATCTACTTCCACATGCACTACCATGAAGGACATTACCAGTAACAGACAAGACAAGCTTCATTCCTCTGCAGGGTTATACACAATCCCTTGTAATGACTGCAGCAAATTATACATTGGCAAAACATCCAGAGACCTCCAAACAAGCACCAGTACACAGGCGGAGCTGACGATCCAAGGAATGCCTGTGTTCAACACCGAAATTCACAGAACCATTTAATCAACTACAGAAATGCAAGAGAAGACAACACTCAATACTGAAGAATCCTGGAATCATCACTTATCTGTACATCCCACAACTTCAACCAGAACAACGGCTTCTATAACATAGCTGAACCCCTCGCCAAGAACTTCTTCATTACTATCCCACATAAGATCCACTCATATACACCTACCATCCGACTTACGACCAAGTTCGGTTCCGAGAAACCGGTTGTAAGTCGAAATGGACGTAAGTTGAACTTTACTACTGAATATCAACATAACATTTTTGTAATGGCTTTATTTTATGGTTTTATTTTGGTATTTCATGTTTTACTTTACTTTTTATGCTGTTAGTACTGCATTTTATACTGTAAGGTTTAGGATAAACACTGTGTACAACACAAACACTTGTTTATTTCCCAGAAATTTGGCATAAAAAACACGGTCGTAAGTCGAGTCGTCGTAAGTCGAGCAGGTCGTAAGTCGGATGGCAGGTGTACTTACCCAATCTCTTTTAAAAACTACCCAAATTTTTAGACTTCTTTACTCTACTCCGAGGATTGTCACATGCAGCTTTCTCCACCTGACCCAGCATTCTCATCCTATATATAGTCATGTATGTTTCACCTAGGTAGATCTGTTTGTGACTTGACCAAGCCCACTGTGTGGGTAAAACATTGTCAATAAAGGATCACATTATACTGCTTAAGTGTTTATATTTCCATCTACCTATCATATATTCAAGAATAATATTAGGTATAACACAAATAGTGTAGAAGCATGGTAAAGATGCCCAAATTAATAAAAACTGACATTACATGGAAAGGTATTGAAGGGTGGGCAGCGGTGAGGGACACAAAAAACAAGTGATCGCGTCCATTGCGGAAAACGCTATGCACAATGTGCCTGAAGGGGAGTAACTATAGAAGATCACTCTTATCCTATGCAAAGTCTGAAAAAAAAAAAAAAAGGGTACAGCCATGCGTGCATTTCCTAGAATATCTCAGAACTAAGTTAGTGACTCATTTCATGTTGTATTACTGTTAATAATGAATGGACTGAAAGGATTTTTCACAGCAAATATAAAACTGAATGTTTTATTTTTTAGTTGTGACATTTCTGAGGTATCAGTAAGGGGTGATTCCTCGATTAGCGATAAATTTGTTTACCAACGTGGTCTTAGGAATGGAACTCCATCGGTAAGCGAGGAGAGGCTATATTTGAGCTGATTTCCTCTATTCTGTCCATAACAATATACAGTACATTACCATATAAAAATTTAAAAATATACCAGAAATGTTATAATGGTGCAGAGGTGACATTAAAACAATATCAAAGATGGTTGACACAAACTCACTACCATTATAGTATACTCCTCATTGAGCAACGAATTTGTTTACCAACGAAGTCTTAGGAACAGAACTCCTAAGTAATGTGCTGTGTACTATATATGCATTTTTTAGACCTAGCTCTATTGTTCACTTAACCCTTTCACTGACTGTGCTGTAGTACGATGGCTTTGAGGTTACCGTCAGCACTATAGTACTACGGCTTTGAGGTCACTGTCAACGCCATAGTATTATGCCATGAGCTCAACAGCACTTTTGTGGTGTATATTCGTATGGTTCTTATGGTTGTATTCTTGTTTCTTGGTCTCATTTAATAGAATGGAAGATATATTACAGGAATCAAAATGATTCTGATTGGTTTCAGGATTGCAAATACATGTAGCTGGAAATTGAGCTCAAAGTAGCGGAAATGTTAAATTTTTGCTGATATTCAAAAGTGAACAAATCATGTCACACTTCCAATACATATCAACTGGTGGGTCTAATATGCATTCACTAATGCACTGATTGTCCCTGGGGAAGTGGAACAGAATTCTTCCTCTGTAAGCCATGCGTGTTGTAAGAGGCGACTAAAATGTCAGGAGCAAGAGGCTAGTAACCCCTTCTCCTGTATATATTACTAAAGTTAAAAAGAGAATCTTTTGTTTTTCTTTTTGGGCCACCCTGCTTCAGTGGGATACAGCTGATTTATTTAAAGAAGAAATGTGCTATTATTATTTATACAATTAGTACAATATTGCATAACAGTAAATCTTATATTTTTTTGGTGTGAATAAAAAATTAAAGTGTAACTCACGTGTAAAACTTGGGAATGTAAGTAATGGACAGAGGAAATGTTATTTTAGTGCCAGGAATGCCTGCACTGTTTATTCTAAACCCTATTTTGAAATTTGTGTGAAATTAGACAAATTACCAATTTATGATCACTTTACTAGGTAGTTGAAATAGTTGACTGGGTGATTTCTTATGCTCAGTCAATAAAATGGAAGACATATGAGCAAAATAGCTATGAATTTCATCAACTGGAATAATGTAATTGGCCTAAAATAGGACTCAAAGTGGGCAAAAATCGCACAAGCGTAAATAGTGCTGACGTTGCTGACACAGCAAACTTCTTGAAAGCATAATTCTGTCAATTTTTCCATCCAATTTCATACTTATTTTATTACCTTCAAAAAAACATTCTCTACCATTTTATAATTTTTTTTTTTTTTGTAAATTCTTGGACATTGTGGACAAGTTTCAGATCAGGGGTCAAGACAGTGAAAGGGTTAATATATGATTGAAAACATGTTATCAGACTTTTATATGCATTTGAAGGTGAAAAAAGGCTATGTTTCACTTTACAGCATTTTTGCTTTACAGCAGTAGCCTGGAACCTAACCAGCTGTGTATTCCTGTATTCTTTCTAATTCAGGAGGCCTGTTCCAAGACCTGGCTGAAGAAGCCATCATCCTCAAAACCATCAACCCTTAAACTGTTCAAACGTAGATCTACATTTGTACCACTAGCACTCCGATCGTAGATCTAATTTTTTTTACATGCTTTCAAATCTATGTTTGGAGCGCTAGTGGTACAAACGTAGATCTACGTTTGGACAGCTTAAGGGTTAATAGATGCAGTTTCTTTTTTCAACACGCCAGCCATCTCCCACTGAGGCATGGTGGCCCAAAAAAGAAGAAACACCCCTCTTTACATTTAGTAATATAAAGGAGAGGGGTTACTAGCCCCTTGCTAGATACATATATACCTTTCAATTTTTAAACTTCCCTTCAAAACCAATATTTTAGTGACCCTGAATAATTTTTCATTATCTTATATATGTATATGCTTTTTTACGCCTTTTATAAAAAATACAAAACTGCATTTTTCTTTTACTAATTTTAAGCACTTAAGGATAGTATCCATGTGCCTTACCTCCTTCATTACAACTCCTCTGCCTTTAGTATGATCTTTGCCTGCCTGGGCAAGTTCCTTGTTGAGTTCTTCAATTTTGATCAGTTCTAGAGCTTCACACAGCAGCTCCACATCAGTCATCAACTGCACACGCTCACTTTCCTCATTAGTGTAATAATTATTATCCTTACAAAGTGAGCGCAAAGTCTGCAGGGATATAAACACACAAAGATTAGTGAAACATTCTCTAATTCATTTATTTTAAAATCAATATTTTTTTTTTTTTGTGCATATCTGTGGCTGCCTATAACATTCTCATTTTGGTTTTCATTAATTTATCAGCCTCTTGTATATTCCATTCCACTCCCACAAATTTCACTATACAGTGGAACCTCAGTTATCACCGTAATCCGTTCCAGAAGGTCAACCTAAAAGCGAAATGACCGATAAGTGAAATAATATTTCCCATAAGAATTAATGTAAATCCAATTAATCCATTTCAGACACCCGAAAATATTAACAAAAAATACATTTTTTAAAGATTAACTATAGTTTTACATACAGAAAACAATGAGAACTAAATAAAATGACTAACGAAATGGATAAATGAACATTTAAATCACTTCTACTTTTACTAAAGAGTCTCGTTGGTGTTTGCAAAACGACAAGGGAGGTTTAAATATGACGCTATTATCAATTCTACGGCTTATTTATCTATCATAATTCATCTAATATGACATAATAAACAATATTATTAACAAAGAAACATGACATATACTCTAGAATGAATAACATATGTCATTATGTATGTGGCGAGTGATGGTGTGTTGTTGGGTTTATAAGGGCCACTGAGAGCATAAGTTGTACATATTAGTGGCAGTGGGTGGCAGCAGAGCTACCACCACCATTCACACAATGTATGTACTTAATTTATAAATAAGAATTATTTACACTTTAAAAATAATTATTTACACTTTAATTTATAAATAAGAAATATTTACACTTTATAAATAAGAAATATTTACAATTTATAAGAAATATTTACACTTACTGTACCTTGGAGGAGATGCTGGCATTGGTTTAGGGTGGTAGAAGATAGGCAGGGCAGCGGTGTTCTCAGTATCCCTATATATCTCTAACAACATTGCAGGAGTTAAGTTTCGTGTCGTCTTTTTCTATCGCTTAATCGCTTAACTTACTTGCTACACTGTTAATGCTACACTTTATCGCTGGCTGGCGCTATAGCCTTCACTGACTCCTGCTATTTTCGTATCGTACATATCGCAGATTCACCGAATCACTGAAGAAGGCACATTCTCCCCTCTCTCTTCCTCCTTCACTCTCATACCTTACAACAACTTCTTTCTTAAATTTCATTGTGTTTCTCACTTTCTTTACCAAAGGAATTTTACTAGGAACTTTATTTGGGCCCATGGTTGCTTATTTTGTAGTTGCACTCAATAACCACAAAAAACAATGGATTATAGCAAAATGTCTGGGTGAATGAGCAGAAGCTTCCTCACTCACCCAGACACACAGCCAGATTGACACAAGCAGCTGGCGGCGGCGGGTGACGCGTCCCACACAGCAGATAAGCAGAAGCCGAAAAAAGGTCAATAAGAGAGTTGGCCAATAAGCGGAACAGCCGATAACAAGAGCCCACTGTGCTTTATTTATTAATTATTTATTCCTTAAGCCCTTTTTTTTATGTCAGCCATTTCTAGCTAAGATAGGATGACCCAAAGAAGGAAACATGTTCAAAGGCTTATCCTCTATGAATTAACCATCCCCTATGGTAAAACCTGAATTTTCCTTATCTTTATGAAACCTTTTCTTCCATGCAAAAAACAACCTTTTGAGAATGAAAATATCATGTGACAAACTAAAAAATGTAACATCAACATAGTTGGGTCAGCAAAATATAAATGCTTTACCAAATCATTCGTTATCAACAAGGACTTGAAATCTCTTCAACACACTCAAAAAATTTCTATGAAGTTTATTAATTGTCCCAATGAGTAGAATGGATTCCAAAACTTACTAAAATCTAAATATTATGCATTGTAATCACTGTGTAAAAAATCCTTACAGTATATTTATTCTAAGTTTAACCCCTTGACTGTTTCTGTCGTATATATACGTCTTACGAGCCAATGTGTTTGACGTATATATACTTGAAAATTCTAGTAGCTTCAAATCAAGCGGGAGAAAGCTGGTAGGCCCACATGTGAGAGAATGGGTCTGTGTGGTCAGTGTGCACAGTATAAAAGAAATCCTGCAGCAAGCAGTGCATAATGAGAAAAAAAAACTCCGACTGTGTTTTTGGATTAAAACTCCGACTTTGAGGTGTATTTTCGTATAGTTTTTATGGATATATTCTCGTTTTCATAGTCACATTTGATAGAATGGAAAACACATTATAGAAATGGAGGTGATTTTGATTGGTTTTACTATGAAAAAGGACCTTGAAATGGAGCTCAAAGTAGGAGAAATGTTTGATTTTTGCCAATGTTCAAGAATGAACAAATGACATCATTGTCCAATAAATGTCCAACTAGCCATTCTAATATGCAGTCATGAATGGGTTGACATTATTTATACAATTACAGTATTACAATATTGCAGTAGCCTGCATAACAGTAAATCTTCTATTTTTTGTTTGAATAAAAATTCAAAATAGAAAGCAAGAGTAATATCAGAGGGGCCTGGAGACATGACTGATGAACAAAGAAAATGTTATTTTAGAGCCAGGAATGTCTGCATTGTTCATTCTGGACCCTATTTTGAAATTGGCATATTTTTTTAATTTGTGTGAAATTGGCCAAATTGCCAATTTCTGACCACTTTACTGGGTAGTTGAAATCAGTAAATGGGCAGTTTCTTGTACTCAATCGATAGAATAAATGGAGTCCTAAAGAAATAGCTATGAGCTTAGTCGACTGGAACAAGGGAATTAGCTGAAAATAGGGCTCAAAGCTGGCGAAATCGCCAATTCGTAAATGTCGCCAAGGTTACTAACTTTGTGAGAGCATAATTCCATAAGTTTTCCATCAAATTTTGTACTCTTGGTGTCATTACCATCAGGAAAAGATTCTCTATCACTTCAAAAGACAATTTTTTTTTTTTTCAAATATTCTGCAAATATTCTGCAACACCAGAAGACACCTCAGGATTTGGGGTTGCGACAGTCAAAGGATTAAGATCCAACAAGAGATTACATAGACAATATCTTTAGCTTAACGCTTACCTTCCGTTCCTTCTTATATGCCTTTTTCAATGCCTCTCGCTCTTTCTTTTCTATTTCCTGTTTTGCTCTTTGTTCAGCTTCTTCGGCTTCTCTCTTCTTTCTTTCTGCTTCTTCAGCCTCTCGTCTTATCTATAAAAAATTTGGATAAGACACTAAAATACTTTAATAACATAGTATATTCTAAAAAAAAGTTCTCTTCTCATCAAAGACGTAATAGCTATGATTATTTCACAGATCTAATGATTTTATTTATAATTTGAAATTCATTAACATTTGCATTTAACCCCTTTTTCTGAGGGAGTCCTTATGCAGAATCTTGCCAGACAATTTGCATACCTTCCATTCATAAGACTCCTAAAGAAGTACCTAAAACATTTACCAAAGAATTCTGCATACTGGTTTGGATGTAACACATGTAAATTGTTCAATGCTTCCACCAAGCAAAACAATTTGAGAAAGAACATGGACCATTCTCAGCAAGCACATAAAAAAAAAGGAGGAAAGCAGCAGCATAAAACGTTGGGCATTAGTAAGGGAGAATAAGAGAAAGTAGTACATTGGTACCACCAGTGAGAATTACTGTATACTTTAACATGTCATTGAAATATACAGTACTCCTCTTATCTTTAGTTTTATTTTCTATGTAGCTTCAATGGTATTTATTACCCCTTTTTGTGCTTGGAAAGATCTATATATACAGTTTAGGTTCCTGCTAATAAGTTCTCCTTAATATATTCAGAATGTTAGATAAATACCGTACATGTATACTTGACAAACTAACAGATCACAACATGCAGTCAAAGCCTTTCAGTAATATCTAGAAATACTCATGAATAATTATTAGAATTACTCAGGTATTCTCAAATATTCAGGAATAAATAAATCCATATTTACAATTTTCTATAGATAGCAGGGTTGACAGGTATGTAATAAAAAATATTCAAGATATTTTCTTAAGTACTGCAATGCCAACCAACACAAATTTTAAGAATATTCTGGAAACTTACAGTAGTACAGTGACAAAGAGTAACTTAGGTTTCTTTTGTTACTCCAAAGTTCCACAGAAAACTTAGTTGCATGCAAAATGACCATCCAATAAGTATTTTATTTCATAATGGCACTAAACTAGCTGATAGTGGTTTGATGTGATTTTGGGTGGTCTATCAAATGCTCATGCCATTCTCTACACTGTTTCTGTAAACTTCGGAGGGTTCCCATACTTTACATGGAAGGTGTGTGAACATAATGTGGATGGCTTGGCACTGCTCTCCCCTGTCTCTCCCTCTACCTCCCCCCTCTCTCTCTCTCAGGATAGCCCATGTGTGAGAGGCACACTCCTATCTCTGAGAGAGTATTTCCCCTCAGCCTATTTGTTAATGAGCTGTTGGAGAGTGAGCAGGGTAATATTTTGTGAAGGGATTCAGGGAAACTGAAAAGCCGGGCTTGAGTCCCGGAGGTGGGAAATAAAATGCCTGCATTTAAGTATCGTCGAAGATTATGTGTTGATCTGGTAGCAGGAATAAATGATACTCTTCGGAGGCTACGTTACTTTATTTGGGTTCTTGGTACACAGGCAGTGTGTTTAAGTGCCCAGGCCTGGAGGGCCATGCCCAGGAGAGAGTGACGGAGTAGACTTTGTTGACTGAATGAGTTCAGCTTCCAGAATGAAGCAGAGTAAGTATGGTGTGGGCTTAGATAGGTAGGCCTATCGATGGCAGCACCAGCGTGGCGCAGAATATGAACCCAGCTGAGCATACATCCCTCAGCCACCTACACATGACCGTCCTTGACCATGACTGACTGAAAAAAGCCCTAGGTCTCTCTCTCTCAGGAACAGGGCACAGAACACAAAATAAAAATGTGTGGACATGGACAAAAAATACTTCCTACAGGGAGGGAAGAAAAAAAAAGAGTGGTGTGCTAAATATTGTGGTCCAAGGCAGTGAGCCTTGGCAGGCATCACTGCTCGCCTGCCTGCATCTGAACAGATACTGCAGAACAGGAGACATCGCTGCAGCCGAGCTGTGACATAATGGGGGTAGTCTCTCCTTTGGAATGGTGAAGCAGTCATCAGGGTTCACTCAACCTGGGCCACAACCTGCTGGTGCCCTTGAGTGAGGCGTCGTCAGTACTCGGCAACTGGGTAGGACTTCTTCTATCAAGCGACTCAGGAGGACATTTCTCGATTGGTACTGTCGGTGGGCAGTCACTGCCGGCGAGAGAGGAATGAGTCGTAGCAGAGACAACTCAGGCAAGGGAGTCGTGGCAGCATACACCATAACTAAAGTGAGCAGGCTAGCAGTCAAAGTGACATCATACTTTGTGCAGGCTGCTCACTGAAGCTGTAACATGAGTCAAGACAGTCGCCTACCAACACAGCTACTGTGGCTTGATGGTGTCATCCTCTCAACAGAGTGCGAGTCATAGCAAAGGTTAATCTAAGCATCCTCAGACTAGTTTTCTATACATAACTGCACTCTAACAATCAAGAGGTGGAGTGAAATGAATCATCAGGGAGTTGTAGTAGGTATGACTCAGGCGTGGCATCTACAAACAGTGACCATAAGTACAGTGGACCCCCGGCATCCAATATTAATCCGTTCCTGAGAGCTCATCATATGCTAAAATTATCATGAGGCGATTTAACTTTCCCCATAAGAAATAATGGAAATCAAATCCGTGCAAGACACCCAAATGTATGAAAAAAAAGTTTTACCACATGAAATATTAAGTTTAATGCATACAAACTGAAGAAGACATGCACAGTTAGTAGTACTCTACTAACAATAGAATACATGACACTTACCTTTAATGAAGATCTGGTGATGACTGATGGGATGGGAGGAGGGGAGAATGTCGAAGTTGTTATTGTTTAGAAGGGGAATCCCCTTCCAATAGGACTTGAGGTAGCAAGTCCTTTTCCGGGGTTACTTCCCTTCTTCTTTTAATGCCACTAGGACCAGCTTGAGAGTCAGTGGACTTCTGTCGCACAACATATCTGTCCAAAGAGGCCTGTACCTCTCGTTCCTTTATGACTTTTCTAAAGTGGTTCGCAACATTGTCATTGTAATAGTCACCAGCACGGCTTGCAATAGCTGTGTGAGGGTGATTTTCATCCATAAAGGTTTTCACCTTTGTCCACATTGTACACATGTCTTTAATCATTGAAGTAGGTAACTTCTTCAATTTCTCTATCCAGTCCTCCGAAGCAGTTTCCTCAGGTCTGGCCGCTCGCTGTTGAAGATGATCTTGCAGCTCATCAGTGGTTAGTTCTTCCTTGTCCTCCTCCACCAACTCTTCCACATCCTCCCCACTAAGCTCCAACCCCAAGGACTTCCTCAATGCCACAATGGATTCCTCAACTGGCATACGATTCCCAGGGTTAGCCTCAAACCCTCCAAAATCCCTTTTGTCTACACATTCTGGCCACAGTTTCTTCCAAGCAGAGTTCAAGGTCCTCTTAGTCACTCTCTCCCAAGCCTTACCTATAAGGTTTACACAATTAAGGATATTAAAGTGATCCTTCCAAAACTCTTTCAGAGTCAATCGAGTGTCTGTGGTCACTTCAAAGCACTTTTGAAACACAGCTTTTGTGTACAGTTTCTTGAAGTTGGAAATGACCTGCTGGTCCATGGGCTGTAGGAGAAGAGTGGTATTAGAGGCAAAAACTTGATGTTAATGAAGCTCACGTCCCCAGAAAGTCACTCTGCCAAGTCTGTAGGATGACAAGGGGCATTGTCTAATACCAGGAGGCACTTAAGGTCTAATTTCTTTTCAATTAGGTAATTTTTCACATTGGGGGCAAATGCATGGTGTAACCAGTCATAGAAAAAGTCCCTAGTGACCCATGCCTTAGTGTTTGCCCTCCACAGCACACACAAATTAGCTTTGAGGACATTGTTTTGGCTGAACGCTCTGGGAGTTTCTGAGTGACACACCAATAAAGGCTTCACTTTGCAATCACCACTAGCATTGGCACACATCAGAAGAGTAAGCCTGTCTTTCATAGGCTTATGTCCTGGGAGTGCCTTTTCTTCCTGAGTAATATAGGTCCTGCTTGGCAATTTCTTCCAAAACAGGCCTGTTTCATCACAATTAAACACTTGTTCAGGTTTAAATTCTTCACTGTCTATGTAATCCTTGAATTCCTTCACATATTTTTCAGCTGCTTTTTGGTCCGAACTGGCAGCCTCACCATGCCTAATCACACTATGTATGCCACTACGATTCTTAAATCTTTCAAACCAACCTTTGCTGGCCTTAAACTCACTAACATTACCACTAGTTGCAGGCATTTTTTCAATTAAATCCTCATGCAACTTCCTAGCCTTTTCACATATGATCGCTTGAGAGATGCTATCTCCTGCTATCTGTTTTTCATTTATCCACACCAATAACAGTCTCTCAACATCTTCTAACACTTGCGATCTCTGTTTCGAAAACAGACATGCACCTTTTGTAAGAACAGCTTCCTTGATTGCCGTTTTCCTGGCCACTATAGTAGCGATGGTTGATTGGGGTTTGGTATACAACCTGGCCAGCTCCGACACACGCACTCCACTTTCGTACTTTGCAATTATCTCTTTCTTCATTTCCATAGTAATCAGCACCCTTTTTCTTGCAGGGTTGGCACTAGAAGCTTTCTTGGGGCCCATGGTGACTTATTTAACAGAAACAAGCACCAAAAACACTGTGATAATATGGAATGTACCGAATATATGCTTAGATGCGAGCACGCTGGCTGGGTTGTAAACATTGGCACGCACGGGGCAGTTCAGGCCACACGTAGACGCGTCCCAGACGAATCGTGTGTGGCGGGCTTTTTAACGAGTGGTGAGGCAAAATTTTTGTGTTAAAATGTATCGTATACCGGATTTAACGTATACCGATGCCATCGAATGCCAGGGGTCCACTGTACTATCTATACACGGAGGGGGCTCAAGACTCTTAATCTGATGCCTGGACTGACTTGTGTCAGTTGTCAAATGGTCACAAAGCGATGACATGTAACATGAGGGTCTTATCAATGGTCTGGCCTCAGACCACACTGTGGTCTACATACACATCTGGGCTCAGACCACACAATGGGACACATGAAAAACTTGCACACACCTGTACTGCACATGCAGTTACAACATGGCTTGCACTAACAAATGATGCTTTTCCGTGCAAAAATCAACACTAAGGCATTCACATACATGTTGTGAGACCACTAGCAAGGAACACTGACTGAGGAATTAACATGTGACATTTCTTCTCAATCGTTCTCGACAATACTGCAACAAATTGCTCACTGTGAAACTATAACACTGTCAATGTGCCATTATGTGATGTCAGGTGTGACATCATGAGGGATGTTGTGGGGTGACATTGCGAGGTGACATTAGGGCAGCATGGTGATGTTGGGATGACCTCAGACAGCATGGTGACATCAGGGTGACATCCAGCAACATCCTGGAGTGACATCAGACGTCCTAGGTGACATCATGACGTGATGTCAGGCAGACATCCTGGGTAATGTCGCAAGGTGATGTCAAGCAGACGTCATGAGGTGATGTTGGGCAGACATCAGGCAGATGTCGTGGGTGACATTGTGGGTGCTGGGGGGGGCAGACGTCCAGAGATGATGTAGGGTGACATTGTGAGGTGATGTCAGGCAATGACGTCAGGCAGCAGACAACAGCATATGGTTTTCGACATCTGGCTCGTTAACCCATGTGGCTCACTCCACATGGCCTTATCCACATGTGGCTTTGTGATCCACGTGGCTTCAAGTGACCTCAGGCACTCAAATACACAGCAGTGGCAAAGAATTCACACTGAATTCATAAAAACAACAGAGAGGGAGTGAGAGTGTAATGGTGTATGGTGGTGTGAGATAAGCGTGGGTAGTGTATGGCAAGGGAGGATCTGGCCGCTTCCTCCGCACCCCACAAAACCACTTGGAGAAACAACCACACTGGATGCAAGCACCAGAAAACTCACCTCTGACTTGCTTAAAAAACCATGCTGAGCTGAAGAGCAGCAACAGCAGAAACATACAGGTGATGCAGAACACATAACTGAAGAACAGAGTGGGACACTGTGAAGACCCAGGTGACGCAATGAAGAATTCTCGAGGAAAATTCAGCAAATTTCAGCCTGGATCCTACTGATCCTGTGTCTGACTGAATGATGAAACTTGCAAACATGACTTCCAGACAACTCATAGAGACACAACATTTTCACGATTCTTCCTTCCTCTCTCCGGGCAACAGAACTGTAGTGATCCCACCGCTGCCACCAATATCGTCGATTACTTGTTGATCTGGTGGCAGGAATAAATGATACTCTTTGGAGGCTACTTTATTTGGGTTCTTGGTACACAGGCAGTGTGTTTAAGTGCCCAGGCCCAGAGGGCCATGCCTGGGAGAGAGTGACAGAGTAGACCTTGCTGACCGAGGGAGCTCGGCTGCCAGAATGAGAGAGGGTAAGCGTGGTGTGGGCCGAGATAGGTAGGTCTATAGATGGCAGCACCAGTGTGGCCCGGAATATGAACCCAGATGGGCATACATAAGGGAGGGGTTTGGGATATTGGCTGTTTAGAGCGATCTGAACTGTTTTGTGGGGTGCGGAGGAAGTGGCCAGATCCTCCCTTGCCATACACTACCCATGCTTATCTCACACCACCATACACCATTACACTCTCACTCCCTCTCTGTTGTTTTTATGAATTCAGTGTGAATTCTTTGCCACTGCTGTGTATTTGAGTGCCTGAGGTCACTTGAAGCCACATGGATCACGAAGCCACATGTGGATAAGGCCATGTGGAGTGAGCCACATGGGTTAACGAGCCAGATGTCGAAAACCATATGCTGTTGTCTGCTGCCTGACATCATTGCCTGACATCACCTCACAATGTCACCCTACATCACCTCTGGACGTCTGCCCCCCCAACACCCACGACATCTGCCTGATGTCTGCCCAACATCACCTCATGACGTCTGCTTGACATCACCTTCCGACATCACCCAGGATGTCTGCCTGACATCACATCATGATGTCACCTAGGACGTCTGATGTCACTCCAGGATGTTGCTGGATGTCACCCCGATGTCACCATGCTGCCCTAATGTCACCTCGCAATGTCATCCCACAACATCCCTCATGATGTCACACCTGACATCACATAATGGCACATTGACAGTGTTATAGTTTCACAGTGAGCAATTTGTTGCAGTATTGTCGAGAACGATTGAGAAGAAATGTCAAATGTTAATTCCTCAGTCAGTGTTCCTTGCTAGTGGTCTCACAACATGCATGTGAATGCCTTAGTGTTGATTTTTGCACGGAAAAGCATCATTTGTTAGTGCAAGCCATGTTGTAATTGCATGTGCAGTACAGGTGTGTGCAAGTTTTTCATGTGTCCCATTGTGTGGTCTGAGCCCAGATGTGTATGTAGACCACAGTGTGGTCTGAGGCCAGACCATTGATAAGACCCTCATGTTACATGTCATCGCTTTGTGACCATTTGACAACTGACACAAGTCAGTCCAGGCATCAGATTAAGAGTCTTGAGTCCCCCCCCCCCATGTATAGATAGTACAGTGGACCCCCGGCATTCGATGGCATCGGTATACGTTAAATCCAGTATACGATACATTTTAACGCAAAAATTTTGCCTCGCCACTCGTTAAAAAACCTGCCACACACGATTCGTCCAGGACGCGTCTACGTGTGGCCTGAACTGCCCCGTGCGTGCCATTGTTTACAAGCCAGCCAGTGTGCTCGCATCTAAGCATATATTCGGTACATTCCATATTATCACAGTGAAAGGGGTTTGGGATATTGGCTGTTTAAAGTGATATCTGAACTGTTGTATCTGCGTGCCTCTGCAAAGACGGTGATTTTATGTGAATGATGGTTAAAGTGTTGAATGATGGTAAAATTGTTTCTTTTTTTAGGTCACCTTGCCTTGGTGGGAGATGGCCGACATGTTAAAAGAAAAATAAACAACTTGTTTATACACTTCAAAACATTGAAAATTTCACAAAATAAAATGTTTTGGAGTTCCTGCAATAGCAGCATGATTAAAGACTAAGGACAGAAAGCCTGAGAGCTTTTAATTATATATATATAAAACCTCACCCTCTCTTCCTCTTCCATCTTCTGTCTGATGGCATCAGCTTTAGCTTTCTTCTGTGCCAGTCTTCTCTCCTTTTCTTCCTCTTTAAACCTGTATGTATACAATGAATTAATTTTGTCAGTTCCTATCTACGATTCATAATAACATGTTTAGCTATATCTTACTTGGTTTTAAAATAATTATTAAATTATTTAATTGCAGGTTTTTTCTAGTGCCTAAAACAAATACTAATATAAACATGGACATACACATGGGTGTATCTAAACTTGAACATATTGTATTCAAGGAGAAGCATTAAATTCTTAGGGGTCATACTGGCTCAGGAATTCTGGTCATCAAGTCTGATCCAAGGAAAGGGTACCCCTAATTCCTTAAATCATTCGACCCTTGAGGAGTGTTAAGAGACACTCACTGTGGTCAATAAAGCAGTCCACACACACAAAAAAAAAAGACACTGTGCAGGAAAACCTTTATTGTGTTTCATGAGTAAAGAAGCTTTATCAGAAACACACAGAATGTAACACAAAATACATATAATACAGTAAGTGAGGTAAGGGTAAACAGGTTAGATAATACAATGCAAGAGGAGCACTGCAGTGGTTCATGCTAGCTACAAAAGTGGGGGAAAAAGGATGGGAACAAAGAAAGACTAGAGGAGCATGGCAGCATGACTACTGACTCATATTAGGTTTTCTGTGGCTATCTAGGATGATGTGACCAATGGGTCTAGCCAATATGTACATTCCTCTTTAGTTCAACTGGAGAATTCAATGGTCAACACCTCAAAACATCTGCACTCATTTCTGTCATTTTCTTGGAAAATGAGTATAGTTCTGCCCAATGCCATGCAACTGGAATGAGAGTTATAGTGCACTCTGCAAGCATTATTACCATTGTCAATCCTGCACATACATTTAAGCTTGAGAAGGCATGTCCACAAATCTCTGCTGGTTTCCCCATTGTAAACTTTAGTACACTTGCCATATAGTATATTGCTGATCCTTGCATTTTTTGTGATGTAATAGGCCTAAAAGTTTTTGTAATTTCTTCGATGGTCTTGGCAGTGCCCAAAGCTATATTCATTTTGAATTTATGGAGGATGGAGAAGGTTGTGTTCACCGTGGATTTTAGCACTACTGTGTATGTGCAGAACCTTGTCCTTGCAAGTAAATATGAAAGAGATGGAAATCTAAGGCTTGCAAAGGTTTTCTCAATATAATTCATAAAAAGGTAAGTAAGAATTCTTCATGGAAGTCTCTGAGTAAAAAGAAAAAAGCCAGCACTAACTCCAATTTTAGCTCTGACAGTGGTGAGAATATAAGTGTGAGATTATCTATATTGGCAGGCTTTCTACAAATGGTGCATTCCAAGTGCTCACCTACCTCAGTAAAAAGAATATCTAAGAAGGGTAGAGTCAGGTAAATGGGTACAGATGTAACTGATGTGACATTTTATCATGGCAATATTTCTCTCTCCAGGAGCTTTATCAAGCTGTAATGGCTTGACAAGGCTCATGGAGAGTGAACTGCTGCCACGATAAAATGTCACGTTAGTTTTGTGTGTCCATTTACCTAACATTTTGCCAATAATTCTACCATTGTTACTAAGGGTAGAGTCACTTCTTTCTTTCTCTAGAGAAGACTGGATTGAAAGTTTGACGTGGTTGATGTTATGTTTGTATTTTGTGCTCTATGTACTTCATTAAGCCTCTCATTGGTGAAACCTACAACAAAGATTTTCCTGCACATTCTGTGTTATTCTTTACACTTCTCGACTTATTGCTAATACGAACATATCACTGTCCTTCACCATGACTTACCATTTATGACCACTGATGTTAGGTAATGCTAATCACTCATGTAGATAAATGAAAATCTTTAATAAGACAAGAGTCAACAACTTGGGAAATGGGCAGGACTAACCCACAGCAAGTCGGTCCTAAAACCAGCAGACCAGACCACTGGCCTGCTAGTTTTTGGAAGGCTTGCCATGGGTTCAAGTCTAGCTTATTCCAAGTTACTCTCAAAGATACACAGTATGCCCATAATCTACAGTAAAGCTAAGATAACAAAGCCAAAAATGTTTGCAAGTAATTTCATTTTCAGTCAGTTTTAAGAAAAAAGATATTATCTATGGAATCAAATTTATTTTTTTACTGGACTAGTTCCTCAGGAAGGGCACATCTGTCCATTCCTAACAGTAAAAGACAACAACAGTGTGGTTACAGAACAACTCTAAGAGGCTCTGAATTTCTCATCTTGGAGGCTCATCTCCCTCATTAAAACAGATTGAACATTTATTAGCCAACCGAGTTTTAGTGACAAGCCAGCAAGGTTGTAGTTATACATAATACTGTACTAAGGAAACAAGCCTGAATCAAAGGATATTATAAGCAAATTATATCCCCAAGGTGGAGATATAAACTCAGGATTATTAGTAAAGCAGTATAATGCAATTACCTCTCTCCCACTCTGTACTGTTCATTTTGCATTTCTGCACATTGCAGCACAAAATATTTAATACTATTACAAATTTTCTTTCTGTCAAGTCAATATCTATTTCCAAGAAAGGAAATGCAAAGAAGATAAAATATACTCAGTTAAAAAAAATAATATGCTATTTAAAAAACTCACATACTTTGTAATTCTAGGATCACAAGCGTAAGTATTATCCACCAGGCGTCTCAGCCGTGCCATCTCTTCTTTTCGTCTTCGAGCACGTTCCACTTTGTTTTGTTTCTCTATCCAACGACGTTCTTCTCGGCTAAATGGAAATAAATAATGCAAGACTTACAATTAAACTATCTGGAAGCAGAAGTTGGGTTACCTAGTAGCTTAAAATTGTACTATCAAAGCTGCAGTTGAATGAATTCAATAATAACTGCTGTTAGTATGTATAATAATAAAATATACATAAACAAAAATATTCTTAGGAAATTTGAGAGAAAATTGTGAAACTAATTTCTAAAGATATGTTATAACAAGTTTAATAAAAGAATACAAGCTGAGTACAAATTCAAGAAGCACATGCAACATACTCAACTGTAACCCTTGAGTGTTTTTCTACCCAACACAGGATAACTTTCAAGAACTAATCTGAGCCTTTAAAGAGCCCAGTCAGGACTCTGGAAATTGTTGACATTGCCTCGAACCAATAAAAGAACTCAAGTAACCAATCAAACAGCCCTAACTTTCCACAGCAGAGTGAAGAGCTGAGATGTTAAGCAGTGTAATTAGCAACTGCTCCTAAATAAAAATAAATACTGCACAGACTCAAAAATTCATAAAATATGGCAGAAGTCAGAGGAGCAAAGAGTTCTTAAAACTAACCAATCTATAACATGCAAGAAGCACATTTAAATTTCACCAACATTTTGATGATCAAATGCTAAAGGATTAAAAAATTAAATAATAATTATTACCATTATTATATTCAAGGAGAAGCACTAAGCATAAAGGTCAATCCTATGCATTTCTTAACCAAATTATATCAAACAAATAAGAACTCACCCCAAGTACACCAGACTACACCAACAAGTACAGTACCAAAGACAGATGCATTAGATAAAAGCAAATATAGAAAAAAAAGTGAAAGCAATGTGACCATTTGTACAACCACCTTACCCATCTCCTCTCCCCCACTAAACAATATTACCCTCAATCATAACAGACAAAAGTTGGACACACAGAAGTGGCCAAGCCTTTTTTTTTTTTTTTAATGCACTGGCTGCCTCCCACCAAGGTATGGTAACTCCCCCCCCCACACACACACAAAAAAAACTTTTACCATAGTTCGCTCAACTGCTATCTTGTCAGAAGTATGCCCACATCACAGTTCAGGGTTAAGTGCTTGTGTTACAGGGTTAAGTGTTGTATTACAATTTTCATAAAAATGGTGTTAAACTTGTAAGTTATACAGTGGAACCTCGGTTTTTATTTGCCCTGGTTTTTGTCGAATTCAGTTTTCTATGACTTTTTTTGTCATAATTTTGCCCCAGTTTTCATTCATCACCTCAATTTTCGTCGAGTTGACAGTGGTCCATCGTAGTGAACGTGTCCGCCTGCACCCATACAAAGCATAAAATGCATTCTGAGTCAGTCTGGCTTTGTTTCTCGTCGGTAGAGGGTGGTAGTGATGGTGGTAGTAGTTGTGATGGTGTTAAAGGGTGGTAGTGATTGTGGAAGAGAGTGGTACTGACTGTGGTAGAGGGTGGTAGTGATGGTGGTAGAGATAACCTCTCCTCCCTCTCCCTTCCTCGTCGTCTTCCATATGCCAACAAGTCTTTTCAATAAAGGTAAAAGTGATGTTAAATGTTCATTTATCCATTTCATTAGTCCTCTGGATTTATGTCTCATTGTTTCTGCATGTAAAACTATAGTTATTCTCTATAAAATATATTTTTTGTTAACCCTTGGAGGATCAGTCACGTACGTGGTACGTCTTAACAGCCAGGGTCGGTCACGTACTTATACACCTTCAAATTTGGTGGAAGAAAGCTGGTAGGCCTACATATGAAAAAATGGGTCTGCGTGGCCAGTGTACGCAGTCTAAAAAAAATTCTGCAGCACACAGTGCATAATGAGAAAAAAAACTCCGACCGTGTTTTTGGTTTAAAACAGCGGCTTTGCAGTGTATTTTCATATGGTATTTATGGCTGTATTCTCGTTTTCTTGGTCTCATTTGACAGAATGGAAGATATATTACAGAAATAGAGATGACTTTGATTGGTTTCACGAGGAAAAGTACCTTGAAATTGGGCTCAATATAGCGGAAATATTTTATTTTTATCGACGTTCAAGAGTAAACAAATCACGCCACACATCGAGTCTAATATTCTTTCACAAGTGCGCTGATATTATTTATACCATTTTTACAATAATGTAGTAGTATGCATAACAGTAAGTCTTCTATTTTTTGTAAGAATAAAAATTCAGAATGGAAAGCAAGAGTAATATATGAGGGGCCTGGAGACGTGACTAATGAACAGAGAAAAATGTTATTTTAGTGCCAGGAATGTCTGTCTTGTTTATTCTGGACCCTATTTTGAAACTGGAATCTTTTGAAATTTGTGTGAAACTGGCCAAACTGCCAATTTCTGACCACTTTATTAGGTAGTTAAAATCGGTAAATGGGCGGGTTCTTGTACTCAATCGCTAGAACAAATGGAATTTTAGATAATATATTTCTATGATTTCATTCTACTGGAACATTGAAGGCCAAAAATAGGGCTCAAAGTGGGCGCAATCGCCGATGAGTAAATATCATCGAGACCGCTAACCTCACGAAAGCATAATTCTGTAAGTTTTCCATCAAATTTCATGCTTTTAGTGTCATTGCCATGGGAAAAGATTCTCTATCATTTCACAAGAATTTTTTTTTTTTTTTTTTTTTTTTGAAAATTTTTCGACCCTGAGTGGGAGTTCAGGATCAAGGGTCTTGACCCTCAACAGGTTAATAGTTTTGGATGTATGGAACAGATTATGTAATTGAATTTACATTATTTCTTATGGGAAATATTGCTTCAGTTTTTGTTGAATTCGATTTTCATCAGCCTTTCTGGAACAAATTAACCCTTTGACTATCGCAACCCCAAATCCTTAGGTGTCTCCTGGTGTCACAAAATATTTGGAAAAAAAAAAAAAAAAATCTTCTGAAATGATAGAGAATCTTTTCCCGATGGTAATGACACCAAAAGTACAAAATTTGATGGGAAAACTTACGGAATTACTCTCTCGCAAAGTTAGTGGCCGCGGTGATATTTACAAATCAGCAATTTCGCCCACTTTGAGCCCTATTTTCGACTAATTCCATTATTCAAATCGACCAAACTCATAGCTATTTCTTTAGAAATCCATTGGTTCTATCGACTGAATACAAGAAACTGCCCATTTACTGATTTCAACTACCCAGTAAAGTGGTCAGAAATTGGCAATTTGGCCAATTTCATACAAATTAAAAAATATGCCAATTTCAAAATAGGGTCCAGAATGAACAATGCAGACATTCCTGGCTCTAAAATAACATTTTCTTTGTTCATCAGTCATGTCTCCAGCCCCCTCTGATATTACTCTTGCTTTCTATTTTGAATTTTTATTCAAACAAAAAAATAAAAGTTACTGTTATGCAGACTATCGCAATATTGTAATAATTGTATAAATAATGTCAACCCATTCATGACTGCATATTAGAATGGCTAGTTAAACATTTATTGGACAATGACATCATTTGTTTACTCTTGAACATTGGCAAAAATCAAACATTTCCCCTACTTTGAGCACCATTTCAAGGTCCTTTTCATAGTAAAACCAATCAAAATCACCTCTACTTCTATAATATGTTTTCCATTCTATCAAATGTGACTACGAAAACGAGAATATAACCATAAAAACTATACGAAAATATGCCTCAAATTCGGCGCTTGAATCTAAAAACACGGTTGGAGTTTTTTTTTTTATTATTATGGACTGTGTGCTGCAGGATTTTTTTATACAGTGCACACTGACCACACAGACCCATTCTCTCACATGTGGGCCTACCAGCTTTCTCCTGCTTGATTTGAAGCCGCTAGAATTTTTGAGTATATATATGTCAAACACATTGACTCGTAAGACATATATGTACGACCGAAACAGTCAAAGGGTTAATGACGAAAACTGAGGTTCCACTGTATATAAAAGCATCAACATTATTATTACTACATTCATAATTTTAAACAATTTTAATTTTAAAAATAAATGCAAATATATCTTATTTATTCATTCCAAATTATTTATTTAAAGAACACTGAAACAACTAAAAAATCAATTTTAATTAGATAATATACTCACTCTTGTCCCTTTTCCTTTTCTTCTTCATCTAAATAAGAAAACTCTCGCCAAGATTCAAAATCGTACCAGAATGCATAAAACCTGTCCACCTGAAATTATGAAAGTTTTAACATTAGCTTTTCTATGTACAATGTACATGTTATTAGAATATTAACTGGAAACAATCAGGTTTAATCCAAGGAAGGGGAGGATGGTTCCAATTGATTTGGTTAAGAACCCCTCAACAATATGAAGGTCCTGCCTTAAATGGTCTCCATATAGAGCAATGATTCAATCGGACAGCATTTACAACAAAGAAAATGGCTAAGATACTTAAAAAATGTAAATCTATATATAGTTTAACTAAATACTACAAAGTACCATCTAGCAATTTAAAGTACAATTTCACAGGACTAAGTTTCATTCAGATGAAATTTCATAGAGCTGGGAATCAAGTTTATTATGTAGCTATGAAGGGAGTGTTGGGAAAACACTCATGGTAAACTCATGATGATGCCTGACATCAAGTTAGAGTTATAGTCTGAATTAGTTTTACATACATAGTGCAGTATTAGCTTAAGAGATTTTTTAACACTAGACATTCTCCAACGAGGTGAGTTGACCCAAAAAGAGAGGAGATACTCTAACTGTCACTCATTTAATCACTTTCTGAAAGTATGCTGATACCACAGTGCAGACGGGCCTGTGAACTGCAACATTCCTAGCCCTCCTCCAAAGTGCAGGCACTGTACTTCCCACCTCCAGGACAGGTGTCCTTGAATCCCTTCATAATTGTTAACTGTTCACATTACAACAGCACAGCCTTAGCTCATAAAAATCACTTCCCTCTAGTCACTCTGTTCTAAAACTCTCACACAAGCTTGTTGTTTGTTTAAGCCCCCAAAACTCAAAACCTTTACCCCCCTCCCTCTCCTTCCAACCCTTCCCGAGATAACCCCTGCCCCACCTCCTTTCATGATTATTATTATTCTAGGTTCCAATTTATTTTTTTTAACAAATGGCCATATCCTACAGAAGCAGGGTGACCTTAAAAGAAAAACCAAAAGATTTTCTTTTTAAATTTAGTAATTTATACAGGAGAAGGGGTTACTAGCCCCTTGCTCCCAGCATTTTAGTCACCTCTTACAACAAGCATGGCTTATGGAGGAAGAACTCTGTCCCACTTTCTCATGGAGATCACAGGAAGTAAAGAACAAGAACTATTACGAAAACAGAAAAAAAAACGAGTATGTATATACATCAAGGTTATAACTGTTTTACTTTTTTCCAAATAAAACATCTCCTGTGTCATAAATCGATGAACTTTTATTTAAAACAATGAAAAGGTCCCTAATTCCTCTCACTTTTCAAAAAAGATCACCTCTAAATAAAAACTATGAATCACCATTTATCTACATTACTACTCATAAGTAGCAACTCAGGAAAGTACTAATTAGCAACTCAAATTAATGAAAAATATTAATAAGAATAATAGGAGTAGCAAGATAACAGGGATATCTTGCTACTCCTACTTACACTTTGGTCACACTTCACAGACATGCACATGCATATATATATATATACATACATCTAGGTTTTTCCTAGGTAGTAGGTTGGTAGACAGCAACCACCCAGGGAGGTACTACCGTTCTGCCAAGTGAGTGTAAAACGAAAGCCTGTAATTGTTTTACATGATGGTAGGATTGCTGGTGTCCATTTTTCTGTCTCATGAACATGCAAGATTTCAGGTATGTCTTGCTACTTCTACTTACACTTAGGTAACACTACACATACATGTACAAGCATATATATACACACCCCTCTGGGTTTTCTTCTATTTTGTTTCTAGTTCTTGTTCTTGTTTATTTCTTCTTATCTCCATGGGGAAGTGGAACAGAATTCTTCCTCCGTAAGCCATGCGTGTTGTAAGAGGCGACTAAAATGCCGGGAGCAAGGGGCTAGTAACCCCTTCTGCTGTATATATTACTAAATGTAAAAGGAGAAACTTTTGTTTTTCCTTTTGGGCCACCCCACCTCGGTGGGATACGGCCGGTGTGTTGAAAGAAAGATCTAGGTTTTTCTCCTTATTCTAAATAGCTCTTGTTCTTTTTTATTTCTTCTATTGTCCATGGGGAAGTGGAAAAGAATCTTTCCTCCGTAAGCCATGCGTGTCGTATGAGGCGACTAAAATGCCGGGAGCAATGGGCTAGTAACCCCTTCTCCTGTATACATTTACTAAAAAAGAGAAGAAGAAAAACTTTATAAAACTGGGTTGTTTAAATGTGCGTGGATGTAGTGCGGATGACAAGAAACAGATGATTGCTGATGTTATGAATGAAAAGAAGTTGGATGTCCTGGCTCTAAGCGAAACAAAGCTGAAGGGGGTAGGAGAGTTTCAGTGGGGGGAAATAAATGGGATTAAATCTGGAGTATCTGAGAGAGTTAGAGCAAAGGAAGGGGTAGCAGTAATGTTAAATGATCAGTTATGGAAGGAGAAAAGAGAATATGAATGTGTAAATTCGAGAATTATGTGGATTAAAGTAAAGGTTGGATGTGAGAAGTGGGTCATAATAAGCGTGTATGCACCTGGAGAAGAGAGGAATGCAGAGGAGAGAGAGAGATTTTGGGAGATGTTAAGTGAATGTATAGGAGCCTTTGAACCAAGTGAGAGAGTAATTGTGGTAGGGGACCTGAATGCTAAAGTAGGAGAAACTTTTAGAGAGGGTGTGGTAGGTAAGTTTGGGGTGCCAGGTGTAAATGATAATGGGAGCCCTTTGATTGAACTTTGTATAGAAAGGGGTTTAGTTATAGGTAATACATATTTTAAGAAAAAGAGGATAAATAAGTATACACGATATGATGTAGGGCGAAATGACAGTAGTTTGTTGGATTATGTATTGGTAGATAAAAGACTGTTGAGTAGACTTCAGGATGTACATGTTTATCGAGGGGCCACAGATATATCAGATCACTTTCTAGTTGTAGCTACACTGAGAGTAAAAGGTAGATGGGATACAAGGAGAATAGAAGCATCAGGGAAGAGAGAGGTGAAGGTTTATAAACTAAAAGAGGAGGCAGTTAGGGTAAGATATAAACAGCTATTGGAGGATAGATGGGCTAATGAGAGCATAGGCAATGGGGTCGAAGAGGAATGGGGTAGGTTTAAAAATGTAGTGTTAGAGTGTTCAGCAGAAGTTTGTGGTTACAGGAAAGTGGGTGCAGGAGGGAAGAGGAGCGACTGGTGGAATGATGATGTAAAGAGAGTAGTAAGGGAGAAAAAGTTAGCATATGAGAAGTTTTTACAAAGTAGAAGTGATGCAAGGAGGGAAGAGTATATGGAGAAAAAGAGAGAGGTTAAGAGAGTGGTGAAGCAATGTAAAAAGAGAGCAAATGAGAGAGTGGGTGAGCTGTTATCAACAAATTTTGTTGAAAATAAGAAAAAGTTTTGGAGTGAGATTAACAAGTTAAGGAAGCCTAGAGAACAAATGGATTTGTCAGTTAAAAATAGGAGAGGAGAGTTATTAAATGGAGAGTTAGAGGTATTGGGAAAAATGGAGGGAATATTTTGAGGAATTGTTAAATGTTGATGAAGATAGGGAAGCTGTGATTTCGTGTATAGGGCAAGGAGGAATAACATCTTGTAGGAGTGAGGAAGAGCCAGTTGTGAGTGTGGGGGAAGTTCGTGAGGCAGTAGGTAAAATGAAAGGGGGTAAGGCAGCCGGGATTGATGGGATAAAGATAGAAATGTTAAAAGCAGGTGGGGATATAATTTTGGAGTGGTTGGTGCAATTATTTAATAAATGTATGGAAGAGGGTAAGGTACCTAGGGATTGGCAGAGAGCATGCATAGTTCCTTTGTATAAAGGCAAAGGGGATAAAAGAGAGTGCAAAAATTATAGGGGGATAAGTCTGTTGAGTGTACCTGGTAAAGTGTATGGTAGAGTTATAATTGAAAGAATTAAGAGTAAGACGGAGAATAGGATAGCAGATGAACAAGGAGGCTTTAGGAAAGGTAGGGGGTGTGTGGACCAGGTGAAACATATAAGTGAACAGTATTTAGATAAGGCTAAAGAGGTCTTTGTGGCATTTATGGATTTGGAAAAGGCGTATGACAGGGTGGATAGGGGGGCAATGTGGCAGATGTTGCAAGTGTATGGTGTAGGAGGTAGGTTACTGAAAGCAGTGAAGAGTTTTTACGAGGATAGTGAGGCTCAAGTTAGAGTATGTAGAAAAGAGGGAAATTTTTTCCCAGTAAAAGTAGGCCTTAGACAAGGATGTGTGATGTCACCGTGGTTGTTTAATATATTTATAGATGGGGTTGTAAGAGAAGTAAATGCGAGGGTCTTGGCAAGAGGCGTGGAGTTAAAAGATAAAGAATCACACACAGGGTGGGAGTTGTCACAGCTGCTCTTTGCTGATGACACTGTGCTCTTGGGAGATTCTGAAGAGAAGCTGCAGAGATTGGTGGATGAATTTGGTAGGGTGTGCAAAAGAAGAAAATTAAAGGTGAATACAGGAAAGAGTAAGGTTATGAGGATAACAAAAAGATTAGGTGATGAAAGATTGAATATCAGATTGGAGGGAGAGAGTATGGAGGAGGTGAACGTATTCAGATATTTGGGAGTGGACGTGTCAGCGGATGGGTCTATAAAAGATGAGGTGAATCATAGAATTGATGAGGGAAAAAGAGTGAGTGGTGCACTTAGGAGTCTGTGGAGACAGAGAACTTTGTCCTTGGAGGCAAAGAGGGGAATGTATGAGAGTATAGTTTTACCAACGCTCTTATATGGGTGTGAAGCATGGGTGATGAATGTTGCAGCGAGGAGAAGGCTGGAGGCAGTGGAGATGTCATGTCTGAGGGCAATGTGTGGTGTGAATATAATGCAGAGAATTCGTAGTTTGGAAGTTAGGAGGAGGTGCGGGATTACCAAAACTGTTGTCCAGAGGGCTGAGGAAGGGTTGTTGAGGTGGTTCGGACATGTAGAGAGAATGGAGCGAAACAGAATAACTTCAAGAGTGTATCAGTCTGTAGTGGAAGGAAGGCGGGGTAGGGGTCGGCCTAGGAAGGGTTGGAGGGAGGGGGTAAAGGAGGTTTTGTGTGCGAGGGGCT